GGTTTCCCCACTGGCCAAGCCCAGTGCCCCCATGCCCTCCCAGCAGGCCCCCTAATTGAATCGCGCATAAGCCCCTTTCCTTCCGCCTTCTCCATCCAGGAGTGTGAAGGAACCACAGCTGCCATTTCCACCTCCCAGTGCAATCACGTTCTCACCGCAAAGGCCCATTGACGGGGTGCAGGCTCACCCACCTGTCTCAAGCCTCAGAGGCCAGGCCGACACCTCCTTAGTTCCAGGAAGGCGCTGGCTCATGGCAGAGGGGCTTTACTCCACCTAGAAGGTCTCCTTTCTCACCATCTACTTAAAAACTAACAGAAAACTCCAAGGCTCCGAGCAAGCCAGGTCTCCTTCATGAGCTCCTTCCTGGCAGCCCTGCCCACAGCCCGTCCTTTGGTGCTCAGTGCTTAAAACACTCATTTGGGGCACAGAACCACGCCTCAGTTGGTGTTATTTCTTTTTCTTTGTTTGTTAATCCTCACTCAAGGCTATATTTTTCTATTGCTTTTTAGAGAGCGTGGAAGAGAGGGAGAGAGGGAGAGACAGGAAGAGAGAAAGAGAGAGAAAGACATACTGATGTGAGAGAGACACATCGATTGGTTGCCTCCAGCATGTGTCTGGGGTTGAACCTGTAGCCCAGGTACGTGTCCTCGACTAGGAGGTGAACCTGTGACCCTTTGGTGTGTGGGCCGACACTCTGACCACTGAGCGGCACCAGCCAGGGTTGTGTCTTCTTTTCAACAAGATTTTGAACTTCCGAGGAATAGCAGCCATTGCTTTTGCTATTAAGTACGGTATTTCAATGATTATTTGTTAATTTATATTGTCTTTTCTGCTTCCATTGGAGGCAAAACAAGCATGCCTGACAATGAACTACAGCAGGTGAGATAAAGATAAACATCGAGATGAGATAAGAATATTGACTATGAGACCTGGGGATAGTTGAAGCTACAGACGTCTCTTTAGAGAAATGACAAATCACAATTCATTACCTGAGTGTCAGGGAACGACTGTAGCTTTGAAACGTTATTAAAGGGGATTTCATGACATAGTCTGTCATTCCTTTCCGTACCGGAGGGTGTGAGCTGCCTGGGAAGTGACTGCCATGGGACTGAACACTGAGGTCAGCCCAGGCCTCGGACACACACTCCCCACTGAAGACAGCATTAGCATCTGCTCCCGGAGCAGGACTCTGCTGTGCCTTCTGCATACATCGTTCCACCTAATCTTTTATTTATTTATTATTTAAAAATATATTTTATTGATTTTGTACAGAGAGGAAGGGAGAGAGATAGAGAGCTAGAAACATCGATGAGAGAGGGACATCGACCAGCTGCCTCCTGCACACTCCCTACCGGGGATGTGCCTGCAGCCAAGGTACATGCCCTTGACCAGAATTGAATCTGGGACCTTTCAGTCTGCAGGCCGGCGCTCTATCCACTGAACCAAACTAGTTTGGACTCCACTTAATCTTTATAATGTGCCTGGAGGGTGGGCATTATGGTCATCTTTGGAAAATGCGGAAACTAAGGTTTGTAGACTCTCACTGTCACCACCCAAAGTCGGCGCACGGACTGGTGCTCGGATTCAGGGCTTCAGTCCTCCTGCCACGTGAGCAGTCTGCGTCTCAGATTATTATTTTCACAGACGTAGACTGTAACTTCATACATCAACCAGAACTCCAAAGACACACAATTTCTACACAGTTTGGGTCGGTGCCTGAAAAATGCTGGTGAGTAAGTACAGTTAGGGCGACAGTGTCCCCAGAAGACGGTCTCTGTTTGCCAAGCCCCACGATGCCACCCGGTTTCCCGGAAGTGGATTCTGTTGTGGAAGGGGATGATGTTCCCCGTCCATTTCAGAATGATGCCAACAGACATGAGACCACACGTTCAAACATTTCTTTTAGAAAAGGACTCAAACCAAAGGGGAAACTAATTCAGGGCAAAGTCACGCCAGGAAGATGTGAAGAAGCAAAAAACGTCCATGAATCTATGTGACAGGCCCTCCGAGGAGAACGCTGAGCTGGCTCTGACCTTCACGTGGACAGTTGCTTTATTTTGTTGAAATTCTGATATAGAAACTTTGTGAAACCCTATGTTAAACATAAAAGACATACGTCTTACAAGAATACAATTTTTGACAATTTGGTGTATGAAAGTCGGACAAACCTACTCCTGGGTTCTAGGTCGCTGAGTAGACAAAATTCGCCGCCGTCATGGGATTGCCATTGTAACTCTAGTCATCACGGCCCACAGCCTGCCTTCCCGGCTCCAGACAGAGGTCAGACTGGAGGAGGAAGGTCACACGGGCAGAGAGCGCCTCCTTCTGGTCCATAAAAGGCTCAGTGCTTACGGAGCGGGCAAAGACAGTATGGAAATATACTGTCAGTATGGAAACACAGAGTTTATTCCATAAACAGTTACCGGTTAGTTATTGTATTATTTTCCATACCAGCACCTGTAAACCCGCCCGTGAGGGCCTGCTCTCCAATCCCTCTGCCCCTGGCAAAGAGGAAGGAGCCGAACCCCGAGGGCTCTGGCATTCCGTCCACCCTGCTCGTGGCTGGTGGGAAGCCTGAAACTAAGAGGAAAGATCGAGCTGTAAATGACAAATGGTCTCACTCTGCAGCTGAAACAGCTCTGGCTCGAAGCCAAGGACCTTGGGAAAGAGGGAGGGAGTCCGTGAACAAGGCACAGACCTGTGTGTGCAGAAGGCTGGGAAAGCTGCTGGTGTTTGGGCTTCGAGTCGTGTAAATGTGACTACTTTGATAGACTCGTTTGTATTTAAAGGGACAGTGGTGCTTTCCGGAGGGAGCCCAAGCCCACCTCTGCATCCGGGTCCTGCCATCTGGCTGAGCACTTGTCCTCTGACTAGTGGAGGGGTCAGCGAGCTCCTGACATTGCAAAAACCTGAGGCCGAGAGGCCCCTCCAGTTCAGAAGCCCACTGTCTTGTTAACAGAAAGGTTTTGCTAATGTTTGAAATGGATCACACGATTCATTTTAACACAGAGCGGGAGTGCCGGTGTGGAATGAGGCTGTGTGGGGACACTGTGCCAGTTTTCTCAGAAATGGGAGGGTCAGACCTTCTCACCCACCAGACACTGCTCTGGTCAACATGACAAGGAATAGTGCACCATTCCGTGTGTGAGTCCTTAGAGAGAAAGCAAATGAGGGCATAGAAGCTGATCTGTGTGACTATACTGTGTCCGAGGGCGCTCTGCGGTCAGCCTGGTCGGGCGTGGGCCACTCTGCTGAGCGCTCGGAGACGCGGGCAGCCTCTGGCTGTCCCTGAAGGCGCATGAACGTCAACCAGTGAATGGCAGTGATGACTATCACTGCGGTTGTTTTAGAAATACCCAGAGCTCATTCTCTACGGGGGACTGCCACCCTGAGATTGAAACCAAGTCACCTGTTGTCCTCAGGTACGGCCTGATTTGGTACATTCTTCTTTTTAAATATTTACCATATTGATTTCATAGAGTGAAAAGGAGGAGGAGGAGAGGAGAAGAGGAAGGAGAGAGAGAGACCTCTTGTTCCACCCATCCACGCCTTCACTGGCTGATTCTTGGATGTGCCCTGGCTGGGATTGAACCACCAACCTTGGTGTATTGGGGGCGACACTCTAAACACTGCGGGACCGGCCAGGACAGGTTTGGTAAACACTTGAGCTGGGTTTCTGTTCGCCCCAGTCCTGACGGGGCAGTAAAACATCAGCGCCACGAGTTAAGCGTAAAATGCTTGCAGTTTTGAGTTTTACAGATTTATCTAAAGGGCCCAGAAGAGCCATCAGCTCCCATAAATTCTCTCGCTCCCAGCAGGGCAGATAAATCTCCGGTTTAATCACACTCTGCCTGCCGCCACCTTTTCGGATGTGTATCTGCTTGAAAAATAACAGCGTGGCTCTCCTCGGTGGGAACATGGGCGGGTGCTTCAGAAGAAAAACGCCCGCGGATACTTTATTTGCTCTATCGCGGCCATCTTCAGTCCTCGGGCTGGGCTTCTCCCAGCCCAACAGAAACCAGGAACCACGTTCGCTGCGTCCTACACGTATCTCTCATGCGTCCCGATGAAGACATTTCCTGTATGTCTCCCAAGGCCATGCCACGCTCTGCCCCAGCCAGGCAGCGCGGGCGGCAGACGGCGGCTGTACCCGTGTGCCCTGTGACACCACGCTGTCTGTGTACATGTCGGGGAAAGGGGAGACCTCCTCTGGAACCTTCATGGGAACCTACACCCCACGGCCAGCCTTTCCGGGTGCTCGACCCTTTCCCCAGCACCTCTCCTTCCCACAGGCGCTCAGGAGCGGGGGAGGGGGCGAGGGAGGAAGGCGGAGGAACGAGAGGGGGGTGAGTTGTGGGAGGACGGGATAGGGGTAGAGGAGGAGGAGGAGGAAGGAGGAGGGAGGAGCAGAATAGAGATGAAAACTGTAAAAACCATCCTGTCCGCTTTCCCAGGCCCGTGACTGTTTCCCAGGCGGCCGCTCCCAGTGGCTCCCTGAGCCGGACCAGGACCCGGACCCGGCCTTCCCGCGTGGGCTCCTAGGACGGCTCCTGTGCTGCAGGGTCTGCCCACACGAACCTTCCAAACCACGCTGCTCTCAGGCTTTCCTTCCCGCACACACGCTGGGCCCCCAATCATCCATTTTAAAAACAAACATGCTTTTATGATTTAGAGAGAGAATGGAGAGGGAGAGAGAAAAACCCTCATGTGAGAGAGCATTCATCAGCTGCTGCCAGGCCCCGCCCCCTCCTGCAGCTGGTGAGGAAGCAGCACAGCACAGGGAGGCCGGGCGGGGCTGGGAGCTGGTGGGGAGGGAGGCTGCCCAGGGGCAGGTGCAGGAGCCGGGTGACCCCTGACCCTGTGGGTTCCCGGGGCCCAGAGGTCCTGCAGCATCAGCACCCCTGCGGTTCTGCCTTCAGTTCCGAGGAGCTAAGCGCCCAGCCCGTGCGGCCAGCACGGCTCTGCAGGCTTCTCAGCCAAAGGAGAGGAAGCAGTCTTACCAGTGCGGGATTTTGCTCAGGACGTAGTACCCGGTGTAGGAGTGCCGGTGAATCTGAAACGGACAAGAAACAGACAGAAAAGGAGAGTGAGACCGAGGCTGGGACCAGGATGGCTTTCAGATCTCTGTACACGGCGACTCCACGGCCATGGCCCTCCCCAGGGGGCCGCCGGGAGCCGGAGCCGCAGCCGCGGGGAGCAGTGCCTCTGCACTGACTCGGGTTAGTGGGTGCGTCCTGTTAGTCTGTTTCCATTCCTTGGTCATCTCCGCGCCAACTGGTCAGTGATGGCGTCGGAGGCCAGGGTTTTCCGCTGCAGGAAATGCCGCCAGAGACACTCGCCACATACTTGGGAGATTTCTGCAAATGACGGCAAATTCACAGCGTCCCTCATTGCAGGGGAGGGGGCGTAGCTTCCAAATCAAAGGTAACAAAACCACCCAAACAGTGTTTCCCAGTCCTGTACCCCAACCAGGGCTGCCTCTAACCGCCCCAGGCCTGCCCCTCCCCCCTCCTGTGCTACTTCTGAGGAGGCACCTGGGGGGAGTGCTCGGAGGCATCCCAGCTGCCTTCCCAAGGACAGGGAGGGATGAGGTCTGGGAAGAGAGGTCTCTTGGGAAGCGTGTGTCATAGGGGGCGCAACTGGGGACCAGGAACTGGGGTCGGAAGGAGTTTAAGTCCAGCTCAGGGAGAACTGATCTGAGTCTGCCTCTGTCACCCCTGATGGACCTCTTGGTGCTCACGTTGTAAGTCCAGGGTGATGGCTGTGGACCGGATAAGTCAGGACACCAACAGATGTCGTAGTATGCAAAGTAAGGGACTATGCTATCTTTCTTTTTAAAAATATACGTGCTTAATTGATTTTAGAGAGAGAAGAAGGAGAGGAAGAGAGAAACACTGATGGGACAAGATTTCAATGACAGGGCCACACCGTCCAGGGCGACATATGTTCTCGTTCTTGGTTGAAGGCCTATCTCTTTAATTCACTCAGAATCAACGTATTCTCCGATGGTGCCACCATTCCCGAGCAAAGGGGAGACACCTCCTTCTGCGTCACTCTTTCAGGACACTAACTGCATACCCGCAGAGGAGCTGGTGAGAAAAAGGGAGACATCTATATCTATAAGAGGCTAAGTTGACTCGCGCATGCGTGATACATATAAAGCTCTCACTGGCGCCAAGCACCCACGTGTGTTTTGTTCTATCACTGTCGCGTGAATTTGGTTGACACTTCTATTATAGAGAAAGGGTGAATAGCACTATTAAAATATTTCTTCTTATTCATTTCCTTCCAATGTGCATGAACCTGTGCACCGGGCCCTGGAGCTAGAATAACCTTGCCAGGGCAATGGGAAGAAGATGAGCCACCCACCCATTTCTAACCCCCATCTGTATTGCCAGGCAGAGAGAAGGAGAGTCTACATGGGTGTAATGAGAGATGAAGTGGAATAAAACATGACGAGAGAGAACCACTAACTGGCAAGGTTAGGGGTAGCATGGATGATGAGAGAAGCCAGACAGATCATCTAGCCACTGTGCACATACTTCACCCACCCAAAGTGACATTCCAGGCAGCTGTAACGGAAAACACGTTGTAAAAAGAAATGAGATCGGGTCTGCTCCTGGGAACGAAGGGAAGGTTAACGGGGAGAGCACAGCTCAGGCAGGAAAGAACCTGAGATTTGGAACCCAGGGTAAAAAGGAAGAGAAGGAGGTGGTCTGTGAGAGGTTGGGATGGTGAGGGAAGACTTACGGAGAAGCGAAAGCTCAAAGGGGCTGTGAAAGGAGCCATTTCTTGGCTTTGCCATTGGGGAAATAGGGGCACCGGCGGCCGCCCCAGGCGCCATGGCTGGGCTGCGGCAGGGACCCAGCTGCCAGGCTTGGGAGGGCAGCGCAGGGAGCAGGGGCCTCAGGAAGGCGGCACCTACGTGTGCCTCCTGCTTCCTGAGAACCCCACTTGTATTCTTTAAAACACATTTTTATTGATCTCAGAGAGGAGGGAGAGGCACATCAATGATGAGAAAGGATCATTGATGGCTGCCTCCGGCACGCCCCACACTGGGGATGGAGCCCTCAACCTGGGCCTGTGCCCTGACTGGTCCGAACCGCGACCTCCTGGTTCAACTGCTGAGCCCCGTCGGCCGGGCTGCTCAGACCTTGCTGAAGCACCTCGCTGGGGTACAGCCGAGACGAAGCAGGGCCCATCCTGAATGCGTGCCACCCAATGAGCTTGGACATGCGTGAACACCTGTGACACCAGCTCCACAGTCAGGGAGTAGACCCAGCCCCTGGTTCCTCGGGTCCGGATCCCCTTTGAGACGGCAACGAAGCTCAAACAACAGCGTCTGGACCCCAGGTCCCTCTTCGTGGACGTGGGCGGAGACGAGCAAGGATACGAATGTCCCACTTCCCCCCAAACGCTCCTGGCCCACCCATTTCCAGGCGTGTTCCTGAAGCCTGGGTTTGACATGCTCTTTAAAAAACCCTCACTCCAGTTCCCGTCATTAACTCCTTCCCCTATGATGGCCCTGTTCCCCTCAGCAGCTCCCAGGGGTGGCGGACTGCTGGGCCTTGGGCAGAGGAGCGCACTGAGGGCTCCATGCAGGCCCCTCCGGAACAATCCACAGGCGCGAGTATCTGCCCTGTGTGGCTGAGACAAGAGCAAAGCAGTCCCGTCCTCCTGGGAAGAGACGGCCTTCAGCAGCTCCGGAATGCCTTCTCGGCACACTTGGAGAGATGGGCCCCTCTAGGGAGCCGACCTCCTCTAAGGTGCCGGGGGCGGAGCCGGGAAGAAGAGCCACACCTATTGGGAAGGTGACGGGTGGGACTGGGAAGAGGAGCAGCACTGCCATGGGGGGAGACTCTGGGAGGGGCTGCTTCTGCTGAGAGCTCAGAGCCTGGGAGCCCCTGAGGCCATCTGCTCCGAGGAGTCCTCATGCTGACCCACAGCCTGAGAGGAAACATATTCAGACCGAGGAGGCTCACTTTGGGCGCGAAAGCTCCCCTGCGGACAGGCTGTGGCTGGTACAACAGGCCGGCGGGCCTCTGCAGCAGGGGAGGATGTGGGATGGTGGGGCTGTGGCCCTCAGCGTCGTCCCCAGAGAATGCCCCCGCCTGCCCGCCCGCCTGCCCGGCCTCGCAGCTCGGTGTTGGGCACAGAAGCCTAATCCAGGACAGCGAGTCCCAACCTCAGCAGGTCAACACTGACAGCACCCGTGGCAGGAATCATTTATTAATACTTCCCTGGACACTCCTACCTTCCAACATTCTGCAGAAATCTCACCTCGCAGCAGTGAGACCCTGATCATCCCCCGCATTGATTTTTAGAGAGAATGGAAGGGAGGAGGAGAGGAGAGAGAGAGAGAGAGAGAGAGAGAGAGAGAGAGAGAGAGAGAGAGAGATGTGAGAGAGATACATCGATTGGTTGCCTCCCAAGCTGGGACTGGGGAAAGAACCTATAACCCAGGCATGTGCCCTTGACCAGGAGTTTAACCCAAGACCCTTCAGTCCATGGGCCAATGCTCTAACCACTGAGCAATACCGGGCAGGGTGACCCTGGTTGATTTTCTTGTTATTGTTAATACTCATACGAGGATATTTTTCCCCATTGATTTTTTTTTTTTGAGAAAGTGGAAGGAAGGGGAGAGACCAAGAAAGAGAAACGTTGATTAATTGCCCGCTGCATGTGTCCTGACCTTGGATTGGGGGTCAAGCCAGCAGCTGAGATCTGTGCCCTTGGCTGGAATTGAACCCAGGACCCTTCAGTGTGTGCTGATGCTCTATCCACGGAGCCAAACCAGCTAGGGTGACCCTGGTTGGTTTTTAATCTCCTGTTTCATTCATGCTTTTCATTGGGCACTACCCCGGTGTCCCGCCTCCCACTCCTCGGTCCCACTCCTCTGGCTGGTGGTCCGGTGAGCCACAGTCCTGACGACGAAGGTGAGTGAGGATGGAAAACCTGCGAGTGACTCGGTCCTTCCTGGACAGGTGTCCCGCCCTCAGCGGATGGGCAGCCACCCCATGTTTGAGCGTTTAATTGAGAACTTATGCCCACGCCTTGCCAAGCTCTCTGACACCAGCAGGCACCAAACCCTTTGTTAAAATGATTTAAAACTTTTTTCTAGGCCAGTGGTCGGCAAACTCATTAGTCAACAGAGCCAAATACCAACAGCACAACGATGAAATTTCTTTTGAGAGCCACATTTTTTAAACTTAAATTTCTTCTGACGCCACTTCAAAATAAACTCACCCAAGCTGTGGTATTTTGTGGAAGAGCCACACTCAAGGGGCCAAAGAGCCGCATGTGGCTTGAGAGCCGCAGTTTGCAGACCACAGGTCTAGAGGGCGCCAAGTAACTAGGTGCACATGGAAATATTTAGTAAAAAGTAAAGAGCTTAGCTTCTGTGACATAACACAATTATTAGGAAAAAACTCGGCGTAAACGAAGTGCTCATTGTTTCGTCGTCGTTTGCATGAATTTGTTTTTCCTACTGTAAGGAACTAGCAATTAATCTAACAATCCAGGCAAAAGCTGCAATAGAGGAGACTCACATCGTCAGCTCTAAAGTACAGAAATAATTTGCAATCCCTGGGATTTCTACCTCAACTCCTGTTTCCGCCTAGAATACCCAGTTTTCCAAAAAAGTTCTTAAATTCGAGGAGCTGGTGGTCTCGCCTCTTGGAAGGCCTGGCTGCTCCCCCCACCGCCCCCGCCCCCGCACGATCCGGCTCATCGCTGTTCTGGGCCCGCGGCCTGGCTCTGGGCGCAGCGCTTCCTGCCTCGTGTCCTTCGGTGAACGGTCGGCGAGGAGTCTCCGGCAGCAGCTCATGTCGGCACCGCTCACCCCAGATCGCAGCGTGCTGCTTCTTCCTCCTCCACAGACATCGCCCTCCAGTTGTATTAGGACCCTCGGTCCGAGCAGGGCTTCCTCTCTCTTCGGGGCAGATTGTCTGTTTTGCTCACGAGTGAGTGCGCGCTCAGCGCCCAGCACCAGCCGCCCACGGAGCTGCTCCATCAGAGAACCTGAGGGACAGCGCAGCGGGGCCTGCGCGGCTG